TGTCTCTGATCCCCCCACGAGAACGGGAGTGCAGGTGAAGAGCAAGTCCTGTCCCTCCCCAGCTCAGCTGGGACTAGTAGCTAGGAGCCTCCAGCTGGGGCACTCCCAGCAGCACAGGGGAGATCAGACCCATATCCACCTCCTGGAATCTCTTGCAGCTGACAGAGGCTCCAACGCTGCTGCCTTCAGAGCTTAGCTCTGACGGCAGCTGAGAAGTGAGGGTGGCAATCCCACACCCCCACACTCAACAGCTTTGCAACCCCCATCTGAAAACATGAAATTGGCTAATTTCTAACACCCATGGCTGTGAAATTGACCAGAATGGATTGTGAATTTGGTAGGGCCCTAAGTATATGACATTGCCTTAATTGACTCTGCCTTGGAGGTGGCCAACTAGCATCACCATGGTCAGGTGGGGCTATACAGCTGCCCTCAATACATCTGCAATACCAGCTACTTGAGTGCATATCCTCTTCCCATGACCTAGCAGAGCAATGATCGGGCCATTACGTGTGCACAGATGTGGCAGGCAACAGTAGGAGAATATCACAAGAAGGAGCAGAATTAATGCATGACTGGTAATTACAAATCAACATGTATTATTTGACTGTTACAAGTCACATTACTTAATATAGCCAAGTCAGAAAAATATATGCGTTGACACGGTTAGCTACTAGTGTGGCCTTGTTTGCTCCAGGGAAATGGTCAAAAGTTTGTTATAGTGCACCAGTCTACTCCCAGCTGCTTCAATATGTTCATTCTAGCCAAACTAGCAGTTGAAGAACTGCTCTGCTATAGGTTTGCCTGGCCTAGCCACACTCCTGCTAGTCTAAATCCTTTCAGCTACGGCGTATGGATATCTATCCCATTCCCATAAACCCCATCCCAGCTCAGTTTCCAGGAGCAGTGAAGCTGTGATTCCACAGACAGTACTAAATGAAACAGTGGGGTGAGGGTCTAATTGAACCTTTTCAGTTTCTCTATCCACAACAGCGCAGAACTGGTTTGATTTAGTCTGAAATGTTTTTGAAGCCTGCTGGAAGTCTTCTCCAGACTAGAATTTCCCCTCACACATTCGTGTCCCCAGAGGTAATTTACATTTGTAAAACTCTTTGCAAAAAGCCAAATCCAACCTCTTCTCCTAGACCTTTGGTGGGGTCCATTATGCAATGTATTCCATCAAAGGTGCAAGGAATTGACACTGGTAACTGCCACAATTGCTAACACAATGTACTTTCTCAATGAGATGTATACACATGTAAAACTCTCCTTCCCTCTTTCCATCACAAACATTGGTTTGGTGCATTTTCCCGGAAAAAAAAAAGCACCAATCTTTACTTATACCATCATTCTAGCCTTTTTCTTGCTATTTTGGACACCGCGTTTCATTTAAGTCAGCCATTTCCCTTGGCTCAGTAGTATCCAAAGAGGAGATAAAGCAAGCATTTCAGTAAGGCAATTACTGTCCGTAACTAACTATACAGAAGACAGCTCTAAAACAGCTCATTCCCCACTGTATCAACTTGATAAGCTTTCAAATGAGCATGAAGATGCAAGAGGATGGCCTTTAAGAACCTATTACAATTAGGTAACTTTTTAATTAAACAATTAGCGGAAGCAGCATTTACCTGACAATACTAAGGTGGATAACCAAAGGCAATTTATATTAAACAGATTTCATTCTCCCAAGTTATAGCTACTTTGCTTTTTTAATTGTACTTTTGTTATATGTACCTTTAAATTTTAAGAATATGAAAATAGTCATGATTAGCTTGCATAATTCCCAAAGAACCTTTATTCTATTACATAGATTCAAAACGGTCTTAAAAATATGAAAGTGGACTCATCTGTGAAAGTTCAATATGTAAATATATAACTAATTCAGCTTTTTAATGAGGATCCTGAACTCAAGCATTCTGGAAAATGTTTTAATCATTTTATGTGCCATTACTGAAGTCTCATGCTTCATCTACAGAAATCTGTAATTCATGAATATTTGCTTTGTTTTTTTCAAATGCCAAATCTGCTTTTGAAGTACAAATTGTAGATATATCGCATTTGTTTAAAAACATTTCATGATTACATATTAAACTAAGTTGTTTAATGATTTTCACTAAAACATTTCTCAATCATTTAAAAAAAGAATTAAAAACTATTTGAATTTTCATTCTACAAAAAGGAAAATGAGGTTAACAAAGTTACCAAAACTGGAAGTCTATATTATAATCTACAGTAAACTAACTATGGTTGCTTCTCCTGGAAGTAGCCTGAGCCCTGAGAGCAGCCTTTCCTGAACCATTACTGGATAGTTTAACCAGAAGAAAAACTGATTAAATCTATATTTATTGTATCTATTCTATATAAGCATGTATGTATTACGTGACTGACAAACCATGTTAATTCTGAACTACTAGTGAAGAAATGAAGGTGTGGGCCAATAGAACAGCACCCATTCTGATCTAAAACATTCACTGTATTCCTAGCCTAAAAACTGTAAGGGTGTTTTAATTAACTAGCTTGACTCAAAACTTAACAAAAGTCAGCATAACTTAGAGCCACATATTGCTAGGAACAACAAAACATCGAAGTTGTCAGCATAGATTTTAATTTCTGAAATAATCAAAAAGATACAAGTCCCTTAGTGTTTTACAAATGTTTTCCTAAAGGATCAAATTAATTAGAGTGTAAAACCAAGTTAGGGCTTTTTTTTTTTTTTGCTTTGCTGAAAGTCTAAAACCAAGAGACAAAACACACAAGATGCAACACCAGCATTTAAGCATATAACTTAA